CTGAAATTGGTCCGTCTCGGATGAATCTTCTTCATTCCACTTCTTCATGTACTCGACGCATGTAGTTGTGTTGACTGGTCCCTCGTGATATCCTTCTTTCTTGACGTCATATGTATCATGGCCCTTTACTTTCGTAACTCGATGAGGTCCCAAGTATTTTGACTTCAGTTTTAGTCCTGGGCCTTGTTGAACTCGTTTAATAGCTACAAAATCACCAACTCCATATTTGTTAGGATCTTTTCTTCTCAAATTGTATGTCTTCCTATTTTCGTCCTGGACTTTGAGTATCTGCTTCTCAGCTTCTCTTCGCAAGTCTTCTCTTGTTTCTTCGAACAAAACTTGTGCTTCTTCTTCTATCGCTTTCTCAATTTCAGTTTCCATCTTATTTCGCATCTTCACCCCTAATTATAATTCAAATGGTGTGGTGTTGATACATCTTTGAAATGAGGCATCCACGACTCTTTGCACCTGATCTACGTATTTGTACCACTTGGTAGGATCTTCGTTTGACAATTTGGTCAAAACTGAAATTATTATTGAGTTCACTCTCTCAATTTGTCCATTTGCCCTCGGAAGACCGGTAGTTATCATGAAATGTTTGATTCCTTCATTTTTACAATAGTCTCTCTTGAGAATTGAATGCTGACCCTCTGTCTGAAATTATATTTAATGGATTCCCAAAATTCTCCTTCTGTACTCCTAGCTTTGCTATTACTTCTTTACTAGTAGTCGACTTCGTCGGATAGAGCCATATATTTTTCGTAAATGAGTCCACAACAGCGAAAATATGATTGTAGTTTTTATTGGTAGATTTCTGTGGTCCCAAATGGTCAACATGATAAGTTTGTAAAGGAATATCATCATTTTGCAATGGTTGTAAGAATCCTTCCTGTTTTTCACGTTTTCGGTTTGCTAGTAGACATATAACACATGACTGAATACATCTCTCAACCTTCTCTTTCATTTTCGGTATGAAATAATTTCTATGGAGAATTTCTTCTGTTTTCCTTGCAGCGAAGTGTCCTTCCTCATGAGCTTCCTTGATAATCTTCGATTGTATGCTCGTGGGTATAACCAATAATTCATTTCCTTTTACAGCTTTGTGAATTACATCATTCTTCAATAGATAGTCCTCGTATGGCTTCTTTTTCAATATTTCCTTAATAGCTCTTAACTCTGGATCATCATCTTGTGCTTTTCTCATTCGGATCGACGCGATATCACTTGTAATAACCATAATCGGGTACCTGCCAAGAGCATCAACATGGTACATACGATCTCCTGACCGATGCTCTATGGTATAATCAAATTCTTCCAAGAGTAGTGCCCATCTGGCGACTAGTGGAGTGAGATCTTTCTTGTACATCGTTTTCTGGAACGCAGAACAGTCTGTTATTATTTCAAATTTGGTTCCTTGGAGATAAACTCCAAATTTCTTTAGAGCTTCTATAATTGCCAAACATTCCGATTGGTAAGAGCTGTATTTCTTCTCAGCGTCTGTCTTTTTTTTGCTCATATAATATATGGGATGTAAACTATTATCTTCGTAGGATCTCTGCATTGAAATAGCTCCATATCCTTCTTGTGCTGCATCTGTGTGCAACTCCAATTCAGCACCTCTTCGATGAATATTCAAGACAGGTTTACTCGATAATATTTCTTTCAGTTTATTGAATGCTACTCTTTCGCAATCATTGAATCGAAATGTTCGATCTTTCTTCGTGAGATCACTCAACGGTCTTGCAATCAAGGAATATGACTGGATGAATTTCCTAAAGTATCCTGTTAAACCTAGAAAACTTTGAACTTGTTTGATGTTCGTAGGTTCTGGGTACTTCAGTACCGCATCAGTTTAAGTTTTAGAAGGAAATATCTGTCCATTTTCTATCAAATGACCCAAAAATTCATCTCTTCGTTTTAAAAACTGACATTTTTTCTTATTTATTTCGAGTCCTAATCACTGGCCACCTTCAAAACTATTTTCAATTTCTTCATCGCCTCAAATTCATTTTCTGCAGGAATTATCAAATCGTCCAAATATAACATAACAATTCCTTGTTTTTCAAGATCACTAAAAGTTCGATTTATGTAACGTTGGAATATTGCTGGAGAATTGCAAAGTTCAAAAAGTGTCTTCAGAAATTGATATTGTCCATTATGGGTTACGGAAGATGTATACTTTCTACTATTCTCTTCGACTGCAACATGGAAAAATCCATTTTTCAAATCCATGGTAGTGAAAATCTGAGCGTCTTGTAATTTGTCGAGTTGATCCTCTATTAGTGGTAGTGGAGATCTATCTTTCACTATTATTTTATTGATTCTCCTATAATAAACACATAGTCTATAGGATCCACATTTTATCTTCACCAAAACAACTGGACTTGCATATTCCGAGCTGCATGGTTCCACAATCCCTTCCTTAATCCATTCTTCTATCTGTTTGTCCACAACTTCTCTCTCTGCATAAGGTAATCGTCTTGGATTTGTTTCATCAAATTTTTTGATAGAATCTTCCACGTCTCGAAAATTCATGGCGAATGGTAGATTACGCGAAGTTGAATGGAAAGCGGAATCACCCTGTATACTTTCTTGTTTATTTTGTATATAATCTGCTGAACAACCCTGTATACTTCCTTGTTCATTCATCTCTTTATGTGTTGAATCACCGTGTATGCTTTTCGAATTACTCCGATCTCGATCGCCTTCCCTCATTCTATTCCTCAGTATCAAAGTATTTTCGTCATTTTCTTCTTCCTCGTCTTAATCTTCATCTTCTTCGTTTTTTTCTAGCTGTGTCTTCTTCAAGTTTTCCAAATTCATAAGATCACCAATAATATCGATAATGAGGTTACTTTTATCGGTATTGTAATCTAATCCCAAAATATTTCAAAGTTAAATCGCTGATTAAAAAATTATCATCAATGCATTTTAATTTGTGTTCATATTCAACAGATTTCAAATCGAAATTAAAACCGGAAAAAGCTCGTAGTCTTTTCCTGTTATTCCTATCACCCTCAATATCGAAAACAAGTTTATGGAAAGTTTTTATCACTTTGACTGGAGCAACGTTTATGCCGCTCAAAATATTGTCAATGTTACCAAGTGTCACCATTTTCGTAAAAATATCTGATATGGAAATTCTCAAAAAGTCTGTGATTTCAAAACAACAGTGTTTAAAACAAAACGGAATAGAGTTCGTTAGATACCGAAATAGTTTATACAGTGATATACTTCACACTGAAAGTAGTATAATTCCATAAAATGTCCACTCAAAGTGTCTGTTTCAAACTCAAACGATGATTTGAATCATCTAGTTCAGAAATAACAACTATACTTCTGAATGTCTTTCAAATAGCTTAAGCAATAGTCTTTTCAAATCTGCTGAAATGCAAAGCGGAATGCTTACCTCGTATCTTCCTTATGTTACCTGGTATTTAATAGTATATGTTGGATGTCTGTTACAAAGTCACTAGAATGTGACGTCATCCATCACCTATCAAAAATAAGAAGAATGGATATGTCCTGGAACACACCCATGAGGTCTAAGAGCCTTAAGTCTAGAGTCCAGAGGGGAAAATTCAGAGTATTGAGTCCCACCTGTCATATGTCATCTGTCACCCCTTGTGTTCCATGTCATCTCTACCCTGTCATTTGTCACTTGCCATCTGTCATTCCTTGTGTTCCATGCTCCATGTCATCTGTCCCTTGTCATTTGCACTTCTTGTGTTCCATGTTATCTGTCACTCCTGATGTTTCATGTCATCTGTCACTTGTCATCTATCACTTTTTGTGTTCCACATCATCTGTCACTCCTTGTGTTCCGTATTTCATGTCATATGTCACGTGTCATCTGTCACTTCCGGCGGCAGCCCTCTTGTGACGTCACATCCGGCGGCACTCATCCTATGACTCCTGGTGTCGGCCATCTTGTGACATCACTTCTGACCATCTTGGTCCGAGACGAAGGTAGGTACATACAGTTCTGTCATAAAATCGAATACTCCTACTGTGATGTTTCTCTGAATATATTCGTGATGAAATTCACCACGATGCTGTGATGATTGTTTTCAAGTTCTCACATTCAGTTTCATCACAATACTCCATAACAGATGATAAGGTCGTTTCAACGTATTTATAGGGTATATTTATAGGATTGAGGCAACTTCACGGAACGAATAGGTATATTTCAACATAAATACCGCTAAAATACAACAAATAACACACATATCTTCTTGACACGTCGTACTCTCGTCTTTCTACTATCACACGTCATTTATTACTCCTTTCATTCATGTCATTTATATACAGGATGCTATTCGTAAAAAGATATACAGTCTATTCGTTTGTACCGTTATATTTTCTGCATGCTAGGAACCTAGGAGCACACATGATAGAAGAGGAGGGAAAATCCTACCTGAAACCACTTTATGTACTGAAATCACTAAGAGATAAGGGACTAATGAAATCGTTATTACAATGGAGAACCACCTCATTTTGTAAAGCAAGAGGAGGGGACACAATAGATGTTTCAGGTAGCAGTGAATTCACCCCTTAATCATACCGTATCATACAATAGACATAATTGGAAAGTGAAATGAAATCCACTCTGAGTTGGAGATGGAATCGAAGTATGAGTTGCAGAACCAAATGTCATTTGAAATTATTGTGGATCAGGCTATTTTCGTACTGATGCGAATTTAACAAGAAGAACGAGAATCTGTTTTCATCACTTTAGAACCCTGAGCAGTGACACATTACGGGGTTTGGGAGGTAGGGAGATTATATCGAAATGAGCAAACTTGTCACAATAAGACTCCATCCTATCAGTCAGGTGAGCGTTTGGAGAAAAAATAAAGGAATGATTAGTATAAAGTTCGATACTTCACAACTTTCCGTCTACCAGTTTCAGGATTCGCATTATTTGAATCACAAAGGCGACCTAAGGAATTTTAGAGTTGGGAAGTATAAAAGTATATTTCATTCGACGATAATCTGATTCACTCTGATTCTGAATTTGGTGACATTTTCCGGTACTGTTGAGGGGCAGTAGAGTTACCTGAAGAATTTATAATTGCATTGGAAAACTTCCTACCGTACTCATGTCATGAGCATTTTTGAACACCATTTGATCAAGCTCAAAAAAGAATGAAATTTCCGATGATAATGATCAAGGAACGAAATGTCTTATAGCAATTTCATGTAACGGGAGATAATTGGTAATGTATAGGTGTGATTCATTCTGAGGTATTTTAATGAATGAAACCAGGAAAAATAAACACAATTTTCTGAGATCTGCTCTTCCGATTATCTCTGGAAAAACTGAAAATTTCGAAACTTCGAACGATTTATCGTTAGTCAGGTGAATGCACAACTTTGTCCAAACTCAACCATCCTCATATCTCTGATAGTTCAGGAGTCGCAGATAGTGAGGATGGATAGATTTCATCAATTATTTTCTTCGTATAATTTTGAACCAATCAGAACTTACAATTCAGCTGAGCTACCTCAATAATTTCGAATATACGTGATTATAGATGGAGTTGTTGTACTGATCAAAAATTCAGGTTCATTTCCATTTCCATAGTAAACGATTCAAATTGTTGAAAACAATGTGCGTCGTATAATTTCGGCACCCGTTCAAAACTACTCAAAAATAATCGTGGCGAATATAATTCGATCTAGAAAATCTCCAAGGTTATTCGTCGAAAACTTCTTGCACAATTACAAATCATATCAGTTCAACAAACTGACTTTGTTTGCAATTATGCAAGAAGTTATCGAATATTCTGAAGTACTTTTAGTATTACTATCGATAATACAAACCTCCTCATATTGTTTTGAATATTTTGGGTCACAGAAATCATATTCACTTCTCTCTCAGACATATTCTTCCATTTTCGTGTTCTTGTACTTCTTGGACTTGGCTCAAATCCTGAATCCATCATATTACTGCTTTCATAATCACTCCCCGCACTACGGCCTGATTTTGTTTTTGACTTTCTTTTAATGAACCTCTTGGTTTTTATCATATCTCTTGATTGCTCTACTTCTGATAAACTATCTCTCTCATTATCACTATGAATGAAATTCAGAATAGGAGCCGACATATTCGACTCACACCTGATTATTTCTCTCGAGAAATGTTTGTTGTCAGAAATATTTGGTAGAGATGGTACTCGGTTCCCTAAGTCCTCATTTATCTTCATTCTGTCCAAATGCTTATCACTCTTGGAAAGAGTACTCCTGAATAAGGGTCTAGGAATTTTACTTCCAATTATTTTATATCTGGCATCACTTTCGTCGTTTTCTTTGTTGCCAACTGATCGGAATCGACTTTTCTCTTCAACATTCTTTTTATAGCGATACTTTCGTTGTCGAGTTTCATCAAATAGATTAGCTTCGTCTTCATCTAGTATTCGGAAACTTTCATGAGATTTTTTCGTGTCATTGTCATCTGATGAACTACTAGATTCTCCAGTCCCCTTCCTAACTTTTCCTTCTATTGTTTGACTCTTTTCAAGAAGATCATAACTCTTCTTCAGCCTGATATTCTCAGACTCCTTACTGTTTCTATTCCCAAAACCTCCAAGTGCATCTGTTGATTTATCAAAAACTGAGTGATTTGCGGTCGTTGATTGTACATCGCCCATTATTGTATTTTCTGTTACTTCAGAGTCCTTCTTTCTACTTTTACTCTCCTGATCTGTATGATTCTCGGAGCTTGTCTGATTAGGGGATTTTCCAAGTAGCTGACATTCGATACCAGTAGCAACTTTTTCTACTTCTGGAATAGTTTGAAAACATTCTGCTTCTACTGTACTATTTTCATTCTCCATTTTGTATGATTTCACATCATCTGTGGGTGCTTTATGAATAGCGTCATCAAATTCTCCATCACTTCCTCGAGGTCTTATCACAACTTCATTCTCTTCATTTTCTTCGTTGATATTCATTTCACATTTTTTTTCTTCTATATGAATACTTATTTCCATATCATTTGTCAATGATTCGGCAGATGCATTTCTTGATATTGCGCAGCTCCAATTCTCGATTGCGTCATGACCAGTTCCATTTATTTTTGGAATGCTTGTATCTGATGTTTTGAGTTCTTGCGATGACAGCTTCTCGCTTTGTGTTTCATCTGGTTTATTATCCATCATGAGAGTATCACTTCCAACTGTTTTCTCCATATATTCGCTGTTTGATATCTTCTTCATTTCACCTTCATTTCCCATGGAATATTTTTCCTCGGATTCAGAAATCAACCTCTCATCACTCTTCTGCTGTGTCTTTTGATCTTCTCTTGATTTCGGTAAAGCATGCACAGATACTTCAACAACTAAATCTTTCCTTAGTTCTTCGGCATCTTCACTCGTGACTGAGATAATGGATTGTTGATCAATTTTGTTCAAATTCTTCATAAGGGTTTGTTCTTCGAGAGAAGATCCTTCTTCAGCGATAGTTCGTACCGCAGAGGTACCCTTTTTATTTTCGATAACTGTTTCGATGGTTTCCACGGAAGTATTAGTGCTTTGATCCTTCCAGTATGGTGTTTGCGTCCCCTGCTGTTGAATGGTATCGGTACTCGTTACTTCATCACGAACGCTCTCCGAATGATCTACAGATTTGCTCGACTCCTTTTTCAGTCTACTATACTTCGCACTCCTAGGTCGTCGATCCCGATCTATTACAGTCGCGGAAATTATACTACCTCCCTTATACTGCAATACTCCGTCTGGATTGGTTTTTTCTCCACCAAGAATAATTTCTTCAGTTTGTCGGATGTTGATCTCTGTTCTTCCATTGATGATGATTTCGTTCGTATAATCTAAGCTACTCGAAGGAATATTTTCATGAGCGCTACTCCTGGTTGATTCAGCTGTATCTCGTCTAATAGATGATATTTTCTTCTTGACGTTCAGACTCTGTTTCTGCTTTTGTGTATCATCATGCAATTTTCTACTTCTGAGTTTTGCTGACTCCAACTCACTACTTGAAACAGATATCCCTTTCCTCCCAAATCTACTAAGAATTTTTTTGCGATTCATATTTTTTTCTGCTATTCCATTTTCCCGTTCACTATCTGTAGTTGTACCTCCAAGAACAGTGACATCATCCCTGATTCGTAGGTTTGAGGCACTGTTAGTAGGTTTATTTCTGATGTCGCTGAGTCTGCTGGCTGGAACTCCACCATGAAGCTGAAGATATTTGGCAGTTGATCTGAAACCTCTTTGAAGGGCACAATCGAGAGGTGTCATGAGAATATTCTTGGAAGTCCGTAAAATAGGGTTGATTTGGGCTCCAGTATCCAGGAAAATCTGAAAGTATGAAGATTTGTCTAATGAGAACAGATCATGAAAACCATGCACATTATAATATAGAGTGTGTTTTGCTCCTGATAGATGCACCCTCGTATATTCTGTCAGTTCCCTTGCAAAGAAACAGTAACAAGAATATACTTAATGATGATATCAGAAAATCATGAGTAATATACACTGCTCTTCAGTAGTCACGGAATCACCAACTTTCCCAGAAAATGCAATTCGGGGGCATGATGAGTTGAGGATTTCAAGGGATTGAAGGTGAAAACATGAATATATATCGTTATCAAAACATCACTCTTTCGAAAAATATCTAATTCAGGAGAATCGGATCATCAGTTTTCATGGATGCACCGTAGTATTTTTCTTAATCATCTTCTACAGCTACAGAGCCCTAACAACACAGGGATGTCCTAGGTGCGTCCCTTTTTTGTCCCGCGGTACAAGGAAATGATTGGGACATCCAGGGGATGTCCCGCCAGTAGTTGTCCAGTGGACATCCCACCCGGTACATCCCTAGGTTATCCCATTCGTGTTCCTGGAATATCTGATATCCATTCTTCACATCAGAGAGTCATTCAATATCATCAAAATATTGAGTCGAATTTTTTCGAAAATGTATTTCTTCCGGAAAATAATTGTGATGAAAATGAAGAATATATAGTCTCAAAACTTCTCAAGAAATGACCATTTTTCGCAAACAGAGATCGTAAATGCATAATGCCCCTCATTTTCAAACACCCAAGAATGATAATAATTATACCCGAATCCTAACAGTTTTATTTATCCAGGTTTCTGTAGTTGTCCTGTTTATAAATCTGTTCAATACATGAATCTTCAGAAGGCATATTGGCCAATGGAGTAAGGTGCGTGCCTGATAAGCTGAAGGTCCCGGGTTCAATCCCAACTAGACCTACATTTTTTTTTCTTTTGTCGAAGGGATGTCCCTGGGATATCCTTGGGACGTCCTAGGGATATCCCTTCTTTGTACTCGGTACATCCCAGGGACGTACCAGGAGGGACATCCCTTGGATGTCCTTTTTGTCTGAAAGCGGATGTCCCTGGGACGTCCCTAGTATGTACTTTGTCCCAGAAAAGATATCCCTGGGATGTCCTTATTTGAAATTAGGGACGTCCCTGGGAAGTCCCTAGGATGTACTCGTGTTGTTAGGGAGAGTTACATAGAATGATTTCGATCACAGATTCTAGAAAAACAGTAGTAGTAGAAGTTCATATATACATGATATCACATTTGGCCCCCTAGTGGGTTATAGCAATATACAGGAAAGCCCAAGATGATGGTTTCATGTGAATATTCTCAATAACCTCTGTGATGTACCTAACTTTTCATAACCGATTCGAAAATGTGAATTTTTCGAAGATTGTATCAATGGTATTTGAAATATATGGTGCTAGGGACACTTCTCCTCCCAACTCTTTTGTTTATTCAAGTTTTGGCAGTTTGAATGAGAAACATTGGAATATCTATATCTTTACTAATGAATGGTACTTCTGTTTAGTTAAGAAAGCATTCACTATTGTCGAGATGAATCGATTTCGAAATTCTGCTGCGTATTGAAAATAGTGCTTGGATCCTAATCGGATGCTCTCAAAACTGACCAAGAGGTCCATTTCTGAGTAGGATGAGTGATATTCTCCTATTATCCTCTAGTCAAATTGCCAAAAATTCAATAAACAGTGAGTTTAGGGAGGAAAGTACCCATAAAGTCACCTATTTCCTATAATATAAGAAATTCTTATTATCAGAAGTGTCGAGGAGGATATTCTTCAGAATTGATGATTCTCTAGAAAGAACATCTGAACATCAGTATCAATGTGAATCCCTTGATTTGGAACCACTTTGAAATTCGATTTTTAATGATTTCAATATTTTGAATGGCACGCTAGCTGGAATTGATGGGTGACAGTTGAAAAATTACATCCTGAAATTGATGAATCTATATATGAGGCTGATAGGCTTATAGCCGTTTTTTTTTTTTTTTTCTTTTTTTTTTCAATTGGCTCAGCTCTAGTATCTGACGACACTCTTCATAAGATTGATATTCGAAAGAACTTTGGTGTTATCTGTTCTTATTGAAATATTGCATATTTCTATGTGAATAGCGAAACATCTAATACCGTGAAATATTGCAAGCAGGTGTTCACTATCCATAGGTTCGTCCCCCATTCGAGTGAACTCCCCAACCGGTCAGTGAAACATCTGTGAATATTTCTAGATCAAAATTTTATCTATTGAAGTTGCTTTATACTATACAAATGTTATCTAGCCAACAGTTTAGATCAGATCATAAGAGTGGCCGTAGGCGCATATGATCAACATAATCTTTAGTGATCAAGAGAGCCAAATATTTTCCTTTCTCTAGAGTTTTATAGGAGTACAGCCAGATACCAATAAACCCACAAATTGGGCGAATTCTCGAAACTCGCATGATGTCCTTGATTTCGAGTAATTCATGAAATTCATAATGTTTTCTTTTTGCTCATCTAGAAGCGTGATTTGTATTGAGTCGCTATTGAAAACGAATCCATTAAATTGGCCCGATTTTTTGGCTCTTATAGAATACTGTTCTATTGATTCAAGATGAAGTCAAGTTTTGCAATTATTCAAGTGTTAACATAACAATGGCTCTGCTGTGGTTGTAGTTTCTGCCAAAAATAATGAAATCATCTTGGTAGTTCAGCATCATATACCTTTTCTCCTTATATTTTTAATAACTGGTTTCATCAATTTTGAAAAGGTATATGGAGCTGATGATAATCCAAGCGGAAGACATGTAAATTCATATAGATTTGATTATCAAGAGGAAATCGCAAATATTTTCTGTGACTTGTGTATTGTAATCAAGTAATTCGCGTACTCTAAATCTATAAATGCCAAGTATCAATTTTGTGAAATTGATTTCGAAACCGTTTGAATGTTTTCCATCTTGAAATTGGGTGCCTCAATGAAGTCATTGAGAGGCTTCGAGTTCAAAATGAAACGTTTCTTCCCATTTGATTTGTCAGCTAGAAAGATTCTAGATAAGAACAGATTCTTTGATTTTTCTATGCCTTTGACCACTGCACCTTGCGTGAGTAACAATTTTATTGTTTCCTCATCATGGTTTCGCGCTCGATCAGGAATTTGAGGTGATCTTATGAAAAAATAATTATTTAAGTTATACTCAGAATTGAGATAGCAAAATAGTCTTCCTTGGCCTGTGAACCCTATGCATGATAACTTTATGCTTCGATGATATTGATATTGTTTCTCAACCTTATCACGACCCCATGAACTGAAAATTATTTTGCTTTCTTCCTTTACCTAACAAATCGAAATCAACAGACTCTGTGTTTTTCAAAGATAGGTTATATCGGATATGATGTATGAAATAAGCTGACTCATATTTCTAGATTAAATTCAGTTTTATTGACTAATTTGGAATCAATTTCCCTCCTACATTCACTGTTCTTAGATTCTTTCCATCAATGAAGACATTTATTTTCATTATATCGATTGTACCCAGGTAGCACATCATATTGGCTGGAACCCGATTTCATATTGGGCCGATATAGATATATCGTACATGTGAAAAATAATATAGGGTCTATATGAGAGTATATTGGACAAACAATATTGGAATGATAATATTGGTGGAATATTGGTTCAACCTGAGCTGAATATGGATTGTCAGCTACAATATTGGAGCAATATAGGTTCTAAAATTCGTTAACAATGTGTTGAAAAACATATCTATGAATGTTATATAATATTGTTTTACGAATGTCGATACAACAACATCGTATACATATTGTTCCCGACATTTACAACCGATATTGCAATTTGAACATTGTGCCCATGTCGATTCTGAAGCGGTTATGCAATATTGTATGTTCAAGTTGAACGGCATATCGGTTGGATATTGTTTTAACAATATTTGAAACATTATATTCACCAATCTTGATTGATATCATTTTATCTATATCATGCGGAAGATATCGTATACAATTTGCTTCTTACATTTATAACCAATATCGCGATTTGAATATTGTCCCCATGTTGATTCTGAAGCGGTTGTGCAATATTGTATATTTGAGTTCGACGGCATATTGGTTGGATATTATTTCAACAATATTGGAAATATCATATTCACCAATCTTGATTAATATCATTCTATCCATATCATGCGAAAGATATCGTATACATATTGTTTCTTACAATTATAACCAATATAGCAATTTGAACATTCTCCCCATGTCAATTCTGAAGCGGTTATGAAATATTGTATGTTCGAGTTCGGCGGGTGTGGTGGTGCGTCGGCCTCTCCGGGATATCGGACTCTGGTGCCTCGAAGCTAAGGTTTTAGGGCTCGGAAGATGATACCTGGGAAGGAAGAACACAACCAAGGGTGTCCGCCTCCGAGTGGCACTGCTGGATAAGTCAAATGGGATGCTATCAGCAACCCATTTACTAACTAAGAGGCACCCCAACGAGGACCTAATCCAAGGTGTTATGCGACCCGTGCCGAGGGATGGATGATACCCGGGTCAAACAAGGGTATCAATAACGGAGCCTCCGGGAAACCTGACGACCTCCCGGAGTAAGAAGTCTTGCGGCTACACAGGGGGTAAACAGCCGTCGACCCACATATCCCCCATACTCGTGGGAACCTTATGGACAACCCAAAAACAAAAACCAAAAAACCCCAAAAAAAACCCAAACCAAGTGCGGGCTCCAACTTGGGGCCCGCCTCCCCAAACCCAACTCCTCCTGCTGAAGGCTCTGCCTCAGGGCCTTCGGAAATCCCTTTATCCTCCATACCCACTTCGGGCTCTTTAAGGGGGCCCGAAGCTCCACATCCCTACCACGTCACAATCCCAGGCTCGAACCGCGGGCCGGGGAACACAAGCAACCTCCGGGATGCCAAGGCCGATAC